CAATTTATTTCAAATTTCTAAGACGTAACTAAAACATCAATTAATTATTACTAGTGTACATGTTGCTCGAATTCGAGCAATTCTAAAGCATTACAGGAGTTATTTAAAAAAGAATAACAGTCATATTTACAATGAGTTTAAAAGAGTCAACTCAAAGATCACCGGTGTGTAACTCAAACTATGTTTATCTTCGTTATTGATAAACCTAAAGCATTCCGGCCGGTTTTCTCCTTCTCAAAATGCCTCGCTGTACAGGCAGCACGACGTCATTGATAGAGGGCCAATTGAAAACGTAAAGTCGTTTGGGGTAGTATTAGGGCCGGCGCATGTTTAACCTAATAGTTGAGATTGTCCAGGGTCAGGTGATGAGTTAAGCCTATTACGCGCCACTGTTCTGTAGCTGCGGTCGTTATCACGATTGCGCCTCCTGTCTATGTTTCGTTGTCGTCACGTCGGAGGCATTTAAAAGAAAAAAAAACAACAAATAAACAAATTATAGCTACACAAAACAACGATAAATGCACAAATTTAAGTAATAATCATGCTAACACGATCCGTCATAGCGACACAAAACAACGATAAATACACAAATTTAAGATACAACCATACTAACACGATCCGTCTTGGGGGTTATGTTTACACAAACTCAAATAGTAAATAAATGTACTCAATGCGTTTCATAGGATTGAAAAATAAATAACAGCAATTAAACTATACAGCTGATCAAAATGTAAACAATTATGTTCTTCATAAGGATAACATGGGAACTTTAAAAGCCACTGGGGAAAAGCCCAAGGGACTTTTTCAAAAAAAGTAAGGCCAGTTTGCAAATCTACGCGACACGCTCTTTCCAATGAGACGTCAATGGATAAAATCGGTTAAGAAATGGCGGAGGAGTTCAACCGACAAAGTTTCATGTAGCGTATTAATTATATAGATTGGTAACGTTATCCCTGGTTTTATGGTTTTATATAGTACTAGCTGTAACCCGCGGGCTTTGCCCCGTTTAACTTCTTAATTTTCAAGATGATCTCGTTCGCATGGCTCAATCACGTCCTGGTTGAAGTTCGTTCGCTACGCTCACTCACCTTTAGGTTGGAGCTCGTTCGCTACGCTCACTCACCTTTAGGTTGGAGCTCGTTCGCTGCGCTCACTTGCCTTCGGGTTAGCTCGTTCGCTACGCTCACTTGCCTTCAGGTTAGCTCGTTCGCTACGCTAACTCGCCTCCAGGTTGAAGTTAGTTCGCTACGCTTACTCACCTTTTGGTTGCAAATTAGCTGTTGTCATGAATGTAGGGCCTAAAATAAATAATAGTGCTGCACCCTGTTGGTAATCCTTTTAACTTTAATGCTATTGAACATCATAGAACAGAACCAACTTGTTTAATTGAAACAGCTGTTAAGATTCATTAATTCCATTTCTCATAAGGTTAACATGGGAAACTCCAGAGCCACTGGGGCGGAGCCGATTGGGCGGATCATGAAATTGATGGTGTATAAACCTATTCCATGACATTCTACACGTATGTAGCAAGTTTCGTGGCAATCGGTTCAGCGGTGTCTGAGTTTATCACTGCCAAACAAACAAATATATATATATATATATATATACAAACATCCTCTTTTATACTTATAGATACAGTAAATTGCAGAATCGACTGGCAAATGAGTAATCCAAAATGTAATATTGCATACGGTACTGGCTTGATTATAAATCACGATCAGCTGTATTGAAGTATAAAAAAATCAGCAGTAAATGGCTTTTAATGCTATTCTTACGGAGAACATTTTACGTTATATCTAATTTTGTGTTAAAATTGGGGGAATTTCACTATTTTTCCCACCGTCACGGGGTCGAGACCTTTAATTTGAGCCCTCTCCCGTCGTTCTACGACTTCCCAGTCGTCCACAATTTTGACGAAAAGAATCGCCTTACGTAATTAATATAATCCTATACTCTAATACGAGCAATGTTTGCTTGTATGTATGTATGCTTGCACCAAGATCTCGAAAACGGCTCCGACGATTTTCAACAAAAATCTAATTACGTAGAAAGATGTAACTGAAAGTCACATTTTTTAACATTAGTCTAATGGGTTGCTAAGTAACCATCTTGGCAGAATTAAATAACAAGGAAAAAGTAAACAAATAACTTGTAAGTTGTCTATCCACAGTATACTAGCAAAACAAAATACAGTACAAAAGGAAACATCAGTTGTTACCGGTACTATTGAGCAAAGATTATACTGATGATTACTCGATACATTGTAGTCAAGGGTAGCAGTGTGGAGAGTGGGATCTGTTTATGACGATTAGATTACGGTATCTGCAATTTTTAAGTGCTCTGGGAAGGGAAGGAAACAGGTCCGTGACGTAGGAAGTGATGAAGGAAGTAGTAAAGGCGAGCAGTCTGGAGTGTGGGAACTGTTTATGACGATTAGATTAAGGTATCTACAATCCTAAAATGCTATGGGAAGGGAGGGAAACAGGTCCGTGACGTAGGAAGTCATAAAGGAAGTAGTAAAGGCGAGCAGTCTGGAGTGTAGTAACTGCTTATGACGATTAGATTAAGGTATCTACAATCCTGAAATGCTATGGGAAGGGAGGGATACAGGTCCGTGACGTAGAAAGTGGTGAAGGAAGTAGTAAAGGCGAGCAGTCTGGAGTGTGGGAACTGTTTATGACGATTAGATTAAGGTATCTACAATCCTGAAATGCTATGGGAAGGGAGGTAAACAGGTCTGCGACGTAGGAAGTGATGAAGGAAGTAGTAAAAGCAAGCAGTCTGGAGTGTAGGAACTGTTTATGACGATTAGATTAAGATATCTGCAATAAAAAAATGCCATGGGAAGGGAGGGATACAGGTCCGCGACGCAGGAAGTATTGAAGGAAATAGTAAATGCGAGCAGTCTGGAGTGTAGGAACTTTTTATGACGATTAGATTAAGGTATCTGTAATTAAAAAATGCCATGGGAAGGGAGGGATACAGGACTGCGACGCAAGAATTGGTGAAGGAAATAGTAAATGCGAGTAGTCTGGAGTGTGGGAACTGTTTATGACGATTAGATTAAGGTATCTACAATCCTAAAATGCTATGGGAAGGGAGGGAAACAGGTCCGTGACGTAGGGAGTCATGAAGGAAGTAGTAAAGGCGAGCAGTCTGGAGTGTAGTTACTGTTTATGACGATTAGATTAAGGTATCTGCAATCCAAAAATGCTATGGGAAGGGAGGGAAACAGGTCCGTGACGTAGGAAGTCATAAAGGAAGTAGTAAAGGCGAGCAGTCTGGAGTGTAGTAACTGTTTATGACGATTAGATTAAGGTATCTGCAATCAAAAAATGCTATGGGAAGGAAGGGAAACAGGTCCGTGACGTAGAAAGTGGTGAAGGAAGTAGTAAAGGCGAGCAGTCTGGAGTGTGGGAACTGTTTATGACGATTAGATTAAGGTATCTACAATCCTGAAATGCTATGGGAAGGGAGGTAAACAGGTCTGCGACGTAGGAAGTGATGAAGGAAGTAGTAAAAGCAAGCAGTCTGGAGTGTAGGAACTGTTTATGACGATTAGATTAAGATATCTGCAATAAAAAAATGCCATGGGAAGGGAGGGATACAGGTCCGCGACGCAGGAAGTATTGAAGGAAATAGTAAATGCGAGCAGTCTGGAGTGTAGGAACTGTTTATGACGATTATATTAAGGTATCTGTAATCAAAAAATGCCATGGGAAGGGAGGGATACAGGACTGCGACGCAAGAAGTGGTGAAGGAAGTAGTAAAGGCGAGCAGTCTGGAGTGTAGTTACTGTTTATGACGATTAGATTAAGGTATCTGCAATCCAAAAATTTTATGGGAAGGGAGGGAAACAGGTCCATGACGTAGGAAGTGATGAAGGAAGTAGTAAAGGTAAGCAGTCTGGAGTGTGGGAACTGTTTATGACGTTTGATTAAGGTATCTGCAATCCTAAAATGCTATGGGAAGGGAGGAAAACAGGTCCGAGGCGTATGAAGTGGTGAAGGAAGTATTAAAGGAAAGCAGTCGGGAGAGTTGGAACTGGAAACCGTTTGTAGCAGTTATATTAATGCATCTGCAATACTGAAATGCTATTAGAAGGGAAGGAAACGTGTCCACGGCATAGGAAATGGTGAAAGAAGTAGTAAAGGCTAGCAGTGCGGAGTCGAATGTTTGTGGCAATTACATTAATTTATCTTTAATACTAAAATGGTATGGAAAGAGATGAAAACAGGTCCACGACGTAGGAAGTAGTAAAGTTTAGCATCGCCGAGTGTGGGAACCGTGTCTGGCAGTTAGATAAATGTATCTTACATCCTAAAATGCTATGAGAAGGGAAGGAAACAGGTCCTTGACGTAGGAAATGGTGAAGGAAGTAGTAAAGGTGAGCAGTGTGGAGTTTGGGAATGGATTAATCTATCTGCAATCCTAAACTGCTTTCAGAGTAAACTAATGATTTTGCCCGAGCAAAGCTCGGTCCCCAGGTACTAGATATTAATAAGGGTTCTATTGTTTCATCCTTGCAATCTACCAATATGTTTGTTTAGCTAAAAACAGTGGTGAAATTTCTGACCTCATTTACCTCCTCTTTCTGCTATTTAAATAGTACCTATCGTTTATTGTTGATCCACCGTCTGCCGAGCCCGTGCGCATCCATAGCAAACGCATCAATATTATGTGCAACTCTCTGGTTTCTATATTTTGATATCTTTGTGACTCATCTCGACCACATTGCTGGAGCCATATTGGAGGATAAGCTCCAAGTCCAAGGTAAAATGTTCTGGAATTGTGACATCACATTCACATGTACAACTTGCCATCGGCTGGTGGGCTGCCTAGAAGAGTGGCAGCAAGCAACCTATCCTTTATCCTGGGCTACCCGCGGGCCGCGGTATCAATGGGACGTGTAAATGAAGGATGAAGTGTCCAAGTGGATTGTGGAAAGGGTGGGGGAGGGGGAGGCGCGCCTCAGCCTCAGTCAGTCCTCCACCTCCACTAGAGCACTAGAGCAGTCACAGTCAGTGTTGTAGTACAGTAGTGTGCGAGGCGTGCCGGCGACACGGAGCCGACATGGATCTGAGAATGAGACACAGGTAAGACTACTCATCCCGATACTTCTTTTACTTATATATTCAATGCCAGGCAAAATAAACAAAAAAATATGTAAGTCTAATAAAACTTAAATTTCCCAACTTCTTCATTTTGACCAGTATAAGTTTTTAATTTTAAACTGAATGTTGTTGACATCGGTTTTATGCTAGAACATTCGTCGTTATGCAGTTCGTTCTTTACCAGTAGTTAAAATAGCAATGTCAATGTCGTGTTTATACCGTAGGTCTGGAAGTGTGGAAATCATATAAATGTGTATACATACGGCAGGCCTATGCGTAGAGAGCACACTACGTGACGACTCTGGAGCGAAATTGTTTTAGCTATTCAATAAATCCACTAATCATGACTGTTGTACTGGGTATTCCGTTAAGTACCTATCCACAAAACTATAAAGATAAAATAGTCATACTTTAAAATATATGTATAACGTTCTATTGACTGAACTTCGTGTTGTGCAAGAGAACTAAATTTAACATCCATTCTTCGATTTATAGCAGATAAGATAGTAATCATTACAAATATATAGATCTTATAATCACACAAATTATAAATCCAGGTCTGTTTACTCGACTTTATAATTTAGGAGAAACGAATCATAACGAAAAAGAGCTGTAACATCCCATTGTATCCACTTCGGTTTGTAACATCAAAGACAATAATAATTACCAATATATCTGAAAATAAATAAAAACCGAGCCTACACTCGAGAAATTAAAATACGTCCCTTTCTGTTTCTCCGCGTATTGCATCATATATTCTGTTTATAACTCATAACGCACCAGCTTCTCACTAAATACAAGCAAAGCCAATACAAAATACTGTAATAAAAATCTGTTTTAATGTAATATCATCAGAAAAAACTCAAATATGGATTACTTCGTGAATTCATAGGATATTATCGTTTTTCAATGTTAGGTTGGTTTTATCTCGCACTCCATCAGCCTATCGCGAAACATTCTACTCATTGCAGTACCAGTACGATCTTTAAGGTACGAACAAGTCAGGAACCTTGCACATTTTATAATTAAATTTGAATGCAAAATAGGCCTACACAAGCCACAGTCGCTTTACGTAACATTTGTAAGCAACTTCTTTTTTACAAAGCGTGTACCGGTATGATCGTGTCAGTATTAGCTTGATACAAGTGAGCACATGTTATGTAAAGTAGTGTTTAAGTTATGTTATTTATCTATCTATCACATTGACAGCGACAGCGGTCGGTGGTCGGTGGCCGTGTGAGTGTAAAGCGTCGCACAGTCGCAGGTCGCAAGTTCCACGAACCCAGGACGACCCTCCTCATTATCCCAGTCGAGCCTCGGGTCCACCAAAAACGAATAAGGTCGATAACACGGTCTTTCACCACCACCACCCTTCCATTATTGCTATCCAGGTCCCGTGTCCCGACAACGAGCGATAGAAGGAAGTTTAGTGTGCTCTTCTAACTTCAATAGATTCGAAGTTGAAGCTAAACTCCATGAGGTGCAAACTATCTGGGAAGTAGAGAGTCGTCACATATTTATAGTCACTGAAATGTGATTATAATATTAATTATCTTAAGACTATGTTTACGTTTAGAACATCGTAAGTATGCATCACTTCTCGCACCAGACGCGACTCCCGGCGTCACAAATATGTCCATGAGCAATGTGAGACTTATAATCCTGTCGTTAGCTTGATTCTGCTTCTTGAATTGATCTCAACCTTAAAAAAATCAAACAAAAATGCTTGGATCGAGAAAAATAGTCCGTAAAATTGTATAATCTATCAAATTGCTAACTATAAAAAAATGTAAATATTGTTTATCCTGATGCCCTTTCAAAATTAAATTGATTGACGAGCCTTCATTATCGTATTGCATATCTAAATGAGTCACTCGGAAATCGATAAGAGACTCAGTGTTCTGATCTCAAAACGCCACTGAGGCGAAACAAACACGAACCAGAGACTAGTGAGGAAGTAGACGTGTTACGGGCGCCTTGTTGGGTGTACACTGTTCATCACAACACAACCTTGCCTTACGAGATACAGTAGACGTTGTTGAGACAGTAGACGTGTTACGGGCGCCTTGGGTGTACACTGTTCATCACAACACAACCTTGCCTTACGAGATACAGTAGACGTTGTTGAGACAGTAGACGTGTTACGGGCGCCTTGTTGGGTGTACACTGTTCATCACAACACAACCTTGCCTTACGAGATACAGTAGACGTTGTTGAGACAGTAGACGTGTTACGGGCGCCTTGTTGGGTGTACACTGTTCATCACAACACAACCTTGCCTTCCGAGATACAGTAGACGTTGTTGAGACAGTAGACGTGTTACGGGCGCCTTGTTGGGTGTACACTGTTCATCACAACACAACCTTGCCTTACGAGATACAGTAGACGTTGTTGAGACGGTAGACGTGTTACGGGTGTACACTGTTCATCACAACACAACCTTGCCTTACGAGATACAGTAGACGTTGTTGAGACAGTAGACGTATTACGGGTGTACACTGTTCATCACAACACAACCTTGCCTTACGAGATACAGTAGACGTTGTTGAGACAGTAGACGTGTTTTGGGCGCCTTGTTGGGTGTACACTGTTCATCACAACACAACCTTGCCTTACGAGATACAGTAGACGTTGTTGAGACAGTAGACGTGTTTTGGGCGCCTTGTTGGGTGTACACTGTTCATCACAACACAACCTTGCCTTACGAGATACAGTAGACGTTGTTGAGACAGTAGACGTGTTACGGGCGCCTTGTTGGGTGTACACTGTTCATCACAACACAACCTTGCCTTACGAGATACAGTAGACGTTGTTGAGACAGTAGACGTGTTACGGGCGCCTTGTTGGGTGTACACTGTTCATCACAACACAACCTTGCCTTACGAGATACAGTAGACGTTGTTGAGACAGTAGACGTGTTACGGGCGCCTTGTTGGGTGTACACTGTTCATCACAACACAACCTTGCCTTACGAGATACAGTAGACGTTGTTGAGACGGTAGACGTGTTACGGGTGTACACTGTTCATCACAACACAACCTTGCCTTACGAGATACAGTAGACGTTGTTGAGACAGTAGACGTGTTACGGGCGCCTTGTTGGGTGTACACTGTTCATCACAACACAACCTTGCCTTACGAGATACAGTAGATGTTGTTGAGACAGTAGACGTGTTACGGGTGTACACTGTTCATCACAACACAACCTTGCCTTGCGAGATACAGTAGACGTTGTTGAGACAGTAGACGTGTTACGGGTGTACACTGTTCATCACAGCACAACCTTGTCTTACGAGATACAGTAGACGTTGTTGAGACAGTAGACGTGTTACGGGTGTACACTGTTCATCACAACACAACCTTGCCTTACGAGATACAGTAGACGTTGTTGAGACAGTAGACGTGTTTTGGGCGCCTTGTTGGGTGTACACTGTTCATCACAACACAACCTTGCCTTACGAGATACAGTAGACGTTGTTGAGACAGTAGACGTGTTACGGGTGTACACTGTTCATCACAACACAACCTTGCCTTGCGAGATACAGTAGACGTTGTTGAGACAGTAGACGTGTTTTGGGCGCCTTGTTGGGTGTACACTGTTCATCACAACACAACCTTGCCTTACGAGATACAGTAGACGTAATTGAGACAGTAGACGTGTTACGGGCGCCTTGTTGGGTGTACACTGTTCATCACAACACAACCTTGCCTTACGAGATACAGTAGACGTTGTTGAGACAGTAGACGTGTTACGGGCGCCTTGTTGGGTGTACACTGTTCATCACAACACAACCTTGCCTTACGAGATACAGTAGACGTTGTTGAGACAGTAGACGTGTTACGGGCGCCTTGTTGGGTGTACGCTGTTCATCACAACACAACCTTGCCTTCCGAGATACAGTAGACGTTGTTGAGACAGTAGACGTGTTACGGGCGCCTTGTTGGGTGTACACTGTTCATCACAACACAACCTTGCCTTACGAGATACAGTAGACGTTGTTGAGACGGTAGACGTGTTACGGGTGTACACTGTTCATCACAACACAACCTTGCCTTACGAGATACAGTAGACGTTGTTGAGACAGTAGACGTGTTACGGGCGCCTTGTTGGGTGTACACTGTTCATCACAACACAACCTTGCCTTACGAGATACAGTAGATGTTGTTGAGACAGTAGACGTGTTACGGGTGTACACTGTTCATCACAACACAACCTTGCCTTCCGAGATACAGTAGACGTTGTTGAGACAGTAGACGTGTTACGGGTGTACACTGTTCATCACAGCACAACCTTGTCTTACGAGATACAGTAGACGTTGTTGAGACAGTAGACGTGTTACGGGTGTACACTGTTCATCACAACACAACCTTGCCTTACGAGATACAGTAGACGTTGTTGAGACAGTAGACGTGTTACGGGTGTACACTGTTCATCACAACACAACCTTGCCTTGCGAGATACAGTAGACGTTGTTGAGACAGTAGACGTGTTTTGGGCGCCTTGTTGGGTGTACACTGTTCATCACAACACAACCTTGCCTTACGAGATACAGTAGACGTTGTTTAGACAGTAGACGTGTTACGGGTGTACACTGTTCATCACAACACAACCTTGCCTTGCGAGATACAGTAGACGTTGTTGAGACAGTAGACGTGTTTTGGGCGCCTTGTTGGGTGTACACTGTTCATCACAACACAACCTTGCCTTACGAGATACAGTAGACGTTGTTGAGACAGTAGACGTGTTTTGGGCGCCTTGTTGGGTGTACACTGTTCATCACAACACAACCTTGCCTTACGAGATACAGTAGACGTTGTTGAGACAGTAGACGTGTTACGGGTGTACACTGTTCATCACAACACAACCTTGCCTTGCGAGATACAGTAGACGTTGTTGAGACAGTAGACGTGTTTTGGGCGCCTTGTTGGGTGTACACTGTTCATCACAACACAACCTTGCCTTACGAGATACAGTAGACGTAA